TTAATTAACTACTTATTGAGAATTAGGTGAAAGTTTATAGATCAAATGTTGTACACTCAGCAACTCATGCATACTTTGTTTCATCTCATTGACTGTCATGAAACATCACTTAGCCCACTTCCTCCCTGTGTCCAGACTCCATTCCTCCTCCTCCCCTCATTCTTCGGAACACAGTCCTTGAGTATATACTTCAAATGGTTCCTCATTCTAAGATGTGTGCACCTCCCTAGTGTTATCATTCCCGTTATAGGTCTGTCTTTTGTTTTGCTGAAAATTGAACCATGGAGGTGAGTTGGTTTCCAAATATAGAGGGAGACTGTGAGGCCATAGTCTTAGGCGTTCTACCCGTCTGTATCTGACCAGTCACTCTGGTCTTTTTTATGATTTTATGTTTTGATCTACATTTTTCTCCTGCCTATTTGGCCCCTTCTAACGTCCAGACAGGAGAGGACAACGTGAGCCTGCACTGGGTCAGAAGGCAAGGATTGCTCAAAGAGCAATGACGACATCAAGATAGTGTCATAGGCTTTGATTGGCTAATTTTGTCAGAATGAGCTTCAACAAGCATAATCGCAGTAGCAGATTATAGCACGTTGAATTAAAAAAAGAGTTTATATTGATACATGAAAAAGAGGGGAAAGGAATGTAATGAAATGTCTCACAGGAGAATAGCCGTTTCTAAAAGTGTAAGGAATGCTGCTGCTGTTGTTAGGGGCCGTTGCGTCTGTTCTGACCCGGAGTGACCCTAAGCACCGTAGAACCTGGTTCTGTGCCATCCTCGCAATTGTTCCCACACGGTGTCAGTCCATTTCCTTGAAGGCCTTCCTCTCTAGCTGCTCCTCCACTTGGCTCAGTTTGATGTCCTTCTCCAGGGACGGATCTCTAGTGACAATATCTCCGAGCTGTGGAAGACAAAGCCTTGCCATCTTGCTTCTCAGGAGAACGGTGGCCATCCTTCTTCCAAGACAGAACGGTTTGTCTTCTTAGCAGCCCAGAGTGCTTTCAATATTCCTCTCCAGCACCGCAGTGGGGAGTGACAGTGGTATAGACTTGATATATAGATAGATAAATGGATAGATAGATAGATAGATAGATAGATAGATACTGGGGGCAGTAAGTAGGTTGGCCAGAGGGATGTGTGTATGAGTCTTCATTATACACTTGCCAGGTTTGCAAGATTGTGGAAAAACGACTTTTCCCCATCTGTAAAATTAATATTTTATATGTAATATATTTTTATGTATTATTATTTTAATCCACCACTTGCTGAGGAAGGTCAAGGATTGCAACCTTCAGTATGGATAACAACTCAATGTAAAAACCAAAATCTTCGCACCTGGACCAATAGGTAGCTTCATCACAAATGGAACCAAGATTGAAATTTTCAAGGAGTTTGTCTTGCTTGGGTCCACAATCAGTGCTCATGGAAAGCCACAGCCAGGAGATCAAACAGCTCGTTGAATGGAATGGATCTGCTGCACAAGCCCTCTTTAGAGTGTGGAAAACCAGGAATGCTACTTTGAGGCCTGAGGTGCACCTGACTCAAGTCATAGTGTTTCCCATCGTCTCATCCACATTTGACCATTCAACATTGGATAATGAAGGCTGGAAAAGAAGCATGTGTTTGAATTAAGGTGCTGGCAAAGAATACTGAAAGTAGCATGGATTCCCAAGAGCACAAACAGATCTGTTTGGGTGAAAGTACAGCTGGGCGGCTCCGGAGCAGCGAGGATGCAAGATTTCATTTCACGTAGTTCGGATATAGTATCAGGAGCGAGCACTCCATCGAGAAGAGCACCATGTTTGGCAAAGTGGAAGGAAAGCAAAAAGTAAGAGGAAGACCCTAGACAAGATGAATGCACACAGTGACTGCAGCAGTGGGCTCACACATAAGAATAATTGTCTGGTAGATGCCAGCCCAGGCGTTGTTTTGTTTGCTGTGTTGTACATAAGGTCACTGGGTTGGAACTTTATGTTCCAATCTAACAACAACGTTACTATTAATACTTCACCAAATAATATTTGATGTACCAAATACTTCATCAAGAAAACTTCTGAAAGTGAGATTTTTCATGGGTGCTGCTAAGGAACACTCCTGGTGCATTATAAAATAATTTTCAATAACTATTGGCATTCTAGTTTCCATTTACCTAAAATCTTTATATTATGCACTATAACTATATTCTATTGGCCTCCACTAGTTTGTAAGTTTTTCCGAAACAGAGACTTGTATGTTCTCTCATTGTATCTTTTGTATACCTGATCTAGCAGCTAGGAAATACTCAGATACCTAATTTAATATTTCTAGCATAATGTTATAAAGAATGTATTTTCCCTATCTGTAAAAAATTAAAAAAAAATAATAGGCATTTAAAATATAGGTACAAATTTATTTTTAGAAGCCAAGAACTAGGCGTTTTTTTTTTTTTTAAAGTTTAATCATTTTACTGTATCTCTTACAGATATCACAACATTCCATCATTAAATCACATGAAGTATTGTACAATTGCTACCACAATCAGTTTCAAAACACTTTTTCTTCTTGAACTCCTTGATATCAGCTGTCCTTTATCTCCTCTCTCCCCCACAAAACCTTATTTATGTATTATTTTCCTATAATAGTTTGTTGTTAGTTTTTTGTGTGCCATATCTTACACAAGCCAATATACCCATACACAAAAAATTCTGTTGTTTGATCCCATCGAGTGGGGTTAGACAGTCATCAATGCTATGAATTCCCTATTCTCCCTCTTTCCACCCACTCTCTTCCCGGACTCTAAGGGAACCATTATTTCTGTTACTGTTTCTGAAGGTTCATCCTGTTACTGTTCTTGGCGTTCTTGTACCAAATGATCTTAAATATACAAGTAAACATCACAATTCGGACATGATTAATGAGATAAATAAAAAGCATAATAGTAACGGGGTGATATAAATAGATAGTTATATGGTTCATCAGTACTATACTGCATCCTGAATTTATCATCCCTTCCATGTGGCCCTCTGAAAGGAACTGTCCAATTATCTTACTGGTGGGTTTTGGGTTTTCACTACATCCACACCCTTCATATCAATTGGGTTGCTTGATTTTGAACTTCTGATACTTCTTCCATGGACACCACATGATCACATGGGCTGGTGTACTTCTTCCATGTGGGCTTTGTTACTCCCCTTGCTAGATGAGCACTTGCTTAGCTATAAGGCTTTAAGACACCAACTGTTACATCTTTTAATAGCTGGGCATCATCAGTTTTCTTCAGAACATTTACTTATGCACTCATTGGTGTCTTCAGTGATTATGTAAAGTAGATAAGGGAGGTAAGTATCATACAATTCCACATTATTTAAACAAGCATTCTTGTACTGAGTTAAGATTTAAGTAGAGGCCCAAAGTCCATTTGCTTCCTTGTTGCAC